TTGATAATAACCACAGCATCATGATATCAGCTGATCTTAAATATCTCAGTCCATGATTTGAATGAGTAATATATTAGAAACAAAAGGACTGTAATAACTGTAGGAGATTAGTCTGAGCAAACTATATCGACACTAATACAACATGTCTAGCCTACTGAGTGAATTTATCAATGGCTCACTGTAAATCATCCAGTCGTTCCAAAACCAAAACCTAATGACTTGTCAGGCTGGTAGATCCTTTGGTCAGAGCTGAACAAGTTATCGAACTCATTTAGTACTCTGTTCCAACTTTTATTCTATGAATTCTGAATGTGGATTCACCAATCGAGCTTGGCCACAGTAATACGTACCCCTATAGTTCCACCAGGTCCAGACTGTATCCTCATAGTTAATTCTAATAGTCTCTCTAATTTATCATAGAGACGTAATCTTACACGATATTTATAAGATAGTTTGGGTGGTATGTTCACTTCTCTACATGACTCAAAATTCTCCAGATGAATCCCAACTTCAAAATCTTTAGTTATATCAGCCTGAAAAATACATTATAATAATCTATCTGTTATTATTTTGGAGACAAGGGAAATAACTGTATTTCTAATTATTTTACCAGCTTTTAGATTACTAGAGATATTGGTATGTTTTATATAATAATGTTATTCTAATATTACTTACACCATGTATAGCTGTCTGTTTACCAGCTTTTAGATTACTAGAGATATTGGTATGTTTTATATAATAATGTTATTCTAATATTACTTACACCATGTATAGCTGTCTGTTTACCAGCTTTTAGATTACTAGAGATATTGGTATGTTTTATATAACAATGTTATTCTAATATTACTTACACCATTTATAGCTGCCTGTTTACCAGCTTTTAGATTACTAGAGATATTGGTATGTTTTATATAATAATGTTATTCTAATATTACTTACACCATGTATAGCTGTCTGTTTACCAGCTTTTAGATTACTAGAGATATTGGTATGTTTTATATAATAATGTTATTCTAATATTACTTACACCATGTATAGCTGCCTGTTTACCAGCTTTTAGATTACTAGAGATATTGGTATGTTTTAAATAATAATGTTATTCTAATATTACTTACACCATGTATAGCTGTCTGTTTACCAGCTTTTAGATTACTAGAGATATTGGTATGTTTTATATAATAATGTTATTCTAATATAACTTACACCATGTATAGCTGCCTGTTTACCAGCTTTTAGATTACTAGAGATATTGGTATGTTTTAAATAATAATGTTATTCTAATATTACTTACACCATGTATAGCTGCCTGTTTACCAGCTTTTAGATTACTAGAGATATTGGTATGTTTTAAATAATAATGTAATTCTAATATTACTTACACCATGTATAGCTGTCTGTTTATCAGCTTTTAGATTACTAGAGATATTGGTATGTTTTATATAATAATGTTATTCTAATATTACTTACACCATGTATAGCTGTCC